TAAATGTAGAAGTTGCTTAACTGAATGTAGAATCATCTTGAACCCTTTTAGGGATTGTACTTCATTCAGACCATAAAGCACCAAGGTTGAGGTTAAGAACAAGAAGCATCTGAAGTAAAGTGTTGCCTGTAGATTGAAAAGAAACAGTTCACTCCTTCCTCAGAAATACCACTGGACCCAGAACCAAGTGGGATTGTTTCTATCTAGAACTAGTTTATGTGGGCTGGGTAGAGGTTTGGGATGATGGGAGGTTTGCTTTCTTTGGCCAATGTTTATGTTTTCACCCCAGTGCATAGGGAGATGAAATAAACACACATGTATAAACTCTGTGGCCATTTTCACAGAAATCCTGGGAACACTGTTAAAGTGGCCCAGGATTCATACAAATTGCTCTACCTTGAAGACCACCCTAAGCAAACAAAACAATTCATATAGGCCAGGAGAGACTTCATCCAAACCATCTAAGAAAGAATCCTTGACTCTCTAGTTTTTAGAATCACAGTGTTTTCCATTTATTTCAAAAAACAAAAAAGGAATGACTAAACATGTATTAAATTTTTGTAAGTTCTGTCTGGTGTTGTGTTTTACTATTTGTTTTACCAGGATTGCCTCTATTCGACCTGTATTTCTCCTCAGTGATTAGCAGTAAATTTACTCGTTTGTGTATTTTAAGGGCAGGATGGAAGAGATGATGTTGTGGTGTGATGGAAGAAAGAAAATACTGGGTGAATTTAAACCCTTGACTCAATAATCTCCCAAATCCTGTATGGCAGCTAAGTACCGGGAATACTAATGTAAATCTTAAAAATTTACCTTGCTTTCAAAGAGATGGCAAGATTCAAAAATTAAAGTTTACAATAGACAAGTGCTGGAAGCAACCTAAGCGTCTATCAGTAAATGAATGGATCAAAATAATGTGATATCTTTACGCGATGGAATACTACACACAGAAAGGGAGGGAGGGAGGGAGGGAGGGAGGGAAGGAAGGAAGGAAGGAAGGAAGGAAGGAAGGAAGGAAGGAAGGAAGGAAGGAAGGAAGGAAGGAAGGAAGGAAGGAAGGATGGGAGGGAAGGAGCTCCTACCCTTTGTGACAGTATGGATGGAACTGGAGAGCATTATGCTAAGTGAAATAAGCCAGTTGGTGAAAGACAAATATATGATCTCACCCATAAGTGGAACCTAATCAAGAAAACATACAATCAAGCAAAATATAACCAGAGACGTTGAAATTGAGAACAAATGGACAGTAACCAGAGGGGAGGTGGGAAGGGATAATGGGGGGAAAGTGGGGAAGGGTTTTCCAGAACATATATAAAGGACACATGGACAAAGCCAAAGGGGGGTAGGATCAAGGGTGGGAAGCAGGGATGGCTGGGGTTGGGTAGAGTGGGGGTGGGTTAAATGCAGACAACTGTACTTGGACAACAAATTTTAAAATGTTAAAGTTCAATATATGTGTAGCATTTTAAAATAAGTAATCAGAGGATGCTATGGGAGAAGAAATGAAAGTCAAACTCTTGCACAGTAGGGAAGGGAATTGAACAGCTGGACATGACCTGAACCGACTCCAGAAGGACTAGTAGGATTAGCCTGGTGGAATGGGGGGAGGGGCAGCAGATATTTCTGGGCTAAGAAAAGAAGATTCAGAAGTACTAAGACATGAATTAATATTAAAAGGCATTTGAGAAACCCTAAAGTATGAGAAATAAGTGGTCTGGGAAGTGGGGTGAAAAGAAGCTGAGAAACCAGGGGAGGAGGACCATGAAGTGACTTACACACTAAACTGAAAAGTTTAACCATTATCCTGAAAACAAGAGAACCTTTAAAAGATTCAATGAACCAGGGAAATAAGGTGATTCGATCTGTCTTTTAGAAAGATCATGCATTCTGGGAGGCAGTTTGACAACCAAAAATTTAAAAAATGTATATATTATTTGTGAAATCGATGTCTCCTCTACCTGATAAGTAAAGTTTGGAGTTAAAAATTTATACAGGTCTTGCCCTGGCCAGGTTGCTCAATTGCAGCATTGTCCCATATACCAAAATGTTACAAGTTTGATTCCCAGTCAGAGGACATACCTGGGTGGCAGGTTCAATCCCCCAGTCAGGGCACCTACAAGAGGCAACCCATTAATGTTTCTCATTTTCCCTTCCCTTTTTAGTGTTTCTCTTTTTCCCTTCTCACTCTGTCTCATGTATATAATTTATCTTTGGATGAGGATTTTAAAAATGTGTAGACACCTTCTCCCCCACCTCTACTCAAACAGAAACATGGACAAATGTGTCTTGCACAGAAAGGAGGCAATCCTCTTGGCTCTCAAATGACTTTGTTTATTAAGATACTAGCCCACCAAGAAAATCTGACTAATCAACCTAAGAAAAAAGTTTCCAAAAGTTTTCTCTTATGTTTCTTGTTACTGTACAGAAGGAATAAAATTGTTTTCCTACTGAGGTTGTCATTCTGTACCTAATATGTAGCATTTAACCTACTGTTATATATATAGATTTACAAGTTGGATAATTGCTTGGAGGAAGAATATATAATTGTTTAGTATTTTTAATAAATGTAAATTAAGTGTTCTATATTTTTCTTTTTCCCCTTTTCTCACCTAAATTTAAGTCCTTGTGATCCATACATTATAAATGTTCAGGGCAACTTTTGGACTTGAAGGGAACAAATCTAATAGAAAAATAGGGAGCACCGATCCATAATGTATTTCATTTTATTGAAACCATTACTCACAGCCACTTCAAAAATATTTAAGATTTGGGAAATCATTCACAGTATGTTAAGTAAAAAGGAACACAGAGTTGTATATGTAGTCTTGGATTTCAAATTAAATATATAAGTATAAAGTTTGCATAGAACCATTTACATAAACATTTTCTTGAACAGTTAGTTATACGCATGCATACATGATGTCCTAAAGAGATTTGGGCTTTGGCTGTTTCTCGAATGAAAGTCATCTGATTTCTTCAGTTCTTACTCTAGGTTTTCTGCAAGAATATGTATTTATAATTTGATAAGCATATTTTTAAATAAATACTGTTTTACAGTGATATAGAGAAATGATAGACGGGGACCAGACTGAGGCAGGTGCCAGTCATTTTATCACTGATACAACAAATCCAAATCAGAGAGTGAGGACATGAACGCAGGGTGATGACAAATCTGAGAGATGCTTTAGTAGGACCAACGGAAGGTGGGACGAATGATGAGGATGGCAGAGGTAGTGAGGAAAGGGGGGAGTCTAAGATGATGAGTGACTGTACCATGCCCCTATGTGGCAAATACAGCAGACTGACTGGTCGGGAGTGGGGAAGAGATGCAGAGACTCATGTGGGACCGAGTTTGAAATGCCTGGGAATATCAAACAACGATGATGGATAGACAATGACCTGTTGGATCCTGACCTGGAAACTTCTAAGCGATACCAGTTGAGAGTCATAATATATAATCGTTAGTTGTTGTCACTCTCTACAGAGAGTGTGTGGAGAAGCGTTCTGAACTGAGGATGAAGCTCTGGGGAAGGAGGAGGTGAGTAAAGGGGGAGGGGCCACAGACCAAGGAGCAAGGAGGAAACAAAAGAGTGTAACTTAGTGAAGCAAAGAGAAAAAAATTCCAAAAAAATAAACATAGCCAGAAGTGAGAAATTTCTTTTAAGGTGAAAAAACAGTGCTCTTTGGGATACTAATTTAGATCTTTTATGAGCTTTATGAAGCTTCTTTTTTTTTTTTATCAAGTGGCTCTAGTGGAAGATAGATTGCAATAGCTTGAGAAGAGAAAACGAGGATCAGAGTTGAATCAGTGAATGTAGATTATGCTCTCAGGGAGCATAGGTGTAAACAAAGAGGGCAATAGACCCTTAACTGCATGACGACTTATTCAATTTTTATCTCCAAGACTCTACTTCCTCACTTATGAAAGGAGAAAATAATGCCCATGTAGCAGGATCATGAGGATTAAAATCTATTACTAACTGAATGAACTTGTGTCCTTTCCTGATTCGGTATGTTGCTACTAATCACCATATTTTTATTTTCTTAATATCTTAGTCACCAAAGTAGGTGAATAATAAGACATAGAGTTGATTGGTTTTGCATTTCGCTAGCTCTATTTTTTATTGTACATACCTGAGTTTGACCTCAGAAAATATTAATATATCATCCTTTTAGCACTTAGAACAAGGGCAGTTTCAGTTTGGTCTGGGAATAAATGGAGTTAAGACAGAACCTTTCTTTTCTTACCCCACCTTACAAACCAAAGAAATGGGCTCCGATGGAGCAAACAAACACCTGTCACTTTAGAAATCAATTTGACCCACGCAGAATTCCTCTTTTGGATCAGTTCAATATTCAAAAATGTCTTTAAATTCAACTCTTGAAATCTCTGGCCATTTTTCAGGTTTTGAATTGAAGATTTCAAAAAGCCAGATGAGTCTGTGCTTAAGTGAAATCATACAGCTGGAGAGATGACATAACAATCGTTACCTGCTCACAGGGAAATAGGCAGAAGCAGGGAATGCTCAGTCCACACTGCAGGTGCGTGGAGCAGGCAGCAACCCAGAGTTATTCTAGTCAAGTCCAAGCCTCGAAGTTTCCAGATTTCCCAAGAAGACAGTACTAGAGGCCACAACCAAGGGCTCATCTCAAACTACCAACCACTGCAGGTGAGAACAGAAAAGCTCTATGGTTCAGCCATTTCTAACCTAAAAGAAGGGTTCTGATAGTCACTAGAAAACAAAACAAACCAACAGATTAATCAAAGAAACAGAAAATACATTAGCCTTTTAGAAGCTATTTAGAAATTTTTTAACTTTAAATGTGCCCTTAATTTAGCCTCTGCAGTGGGAATTTCTCAAGTGTGTGTGTGCAGTTTGTATTTTAAGCTTTTTGGAGCTGATCCAGATATTTCAAATACTAATCCTGGTGGGATTGCCCTTTAAGGATGTCCTACAGGGAATCTGTTACTCGTAATTTCAAGCACAGAGTGACAAGGAATGCTTTTTCAGCCCAGCAGGAGTCAGCTACGTGCACATCACAAGACTCGGAGGAAACCCACTAACCCTCCTATTTTCTTGTACAAAGTTGAAAAAGTGGCAGTTTGGAGGGGCCCTCAGATAACTCTGGTGGCTCATTCTGTCCCTTCGGAGTTGATCTGTGAATGTGTTGGAGGGAAAAATCATCACACAGTCTCCTTTTAACTGTTTAAATTACAGGGAGAAGCAGCTTTAAGAAAAAGTAAGTTTCGCTTTATTTTCCTTAATGTTTACTATGTGTTTTTCATGTGGTATTTTGGTTTCTTAAGTACAGGAAATTCTTGTAAACTTTCTAGTGACCGCATAAGAGAAAACTTATACTGGCAAGATATGTCGAGATCTTGAAGTTTCTTTGAAACTTTTTAAAAGTCAGTTGAGCCGACAGTTATCAAACTTTATATGCTGCGATTTCAGATTTTCATTTTGATGACATGCATGTGGAAGCAACATAGTGTGCAGATAACTTTTTGGAGCTCTCTCTTGAATTCTGCAAAGGTCTTTATTCCTGGGGGCACAGCTGCATTGTCGTAAAGGGTGGCAGGATTCTGGGGTTCCATTGGACTTATTTATTTGAATGACTAGCTTTACCACTGAGGGTGTTTTATGGCTGGACTTATATATCCAGAGCACAGTTTGAAGTGATCTACATATTTTAAATGAGATTTTGACTATTTCCAAGAAAAATCTGCCTACTTTTTAGAAGCAGGTGTAAAGTATAATCCTAATCTTAGGTGTTCTAAGATTACATTAAAATGTCTCTGTGCGCCTGGCCTGCACAGATATATAACAATACTGTGTGTGTCTAAAGCATTGCTTTTTGAAAGCGACATAGCATCACTTAACCAAAGGCATGCATCCCGTATGTTTGTGCTTTCTCCTCCACTATTTTAGTCAGACCCTCTTTGGTGTCCATCATCCATTTGAAAACAAAAGGCAACTTCTCAGCTGTCAATTTTGGTTTCAGGATTGTGAAAAACTAAAAAAAAAAGTATTACACAAAAAATAGTATTGCACACTAATAAAATGTGTAATACTTATAAATAAAGTATAAGAAAACCCTCAAGTCATTTTAGCCGTCATTTCACATCCATAATACTGTCATGTAGAAATAAATTCGAGCATTTTTATTTGGAAAGTATGTGGAATAAAACATAACGCAAACATTGCAAACATACGTATTCTGTAAGAGAGTTTTTAACATATGTGTTATGATAGATGCCTAAAGCCATAATCCAAATTGCCTGATAGGGAAAGTAAACTCCGATGTCTGTTTTCTCCACTGGTTCTATTTATTCCCACATGTTATCATTAGTTGCCAATTCTGGGACTGCGCTGCCTAAACAAGAGCAGCAGGTTTGTGTTTCAATGGAACATCGCCTCACTGACAAGTTTACCTCTCATTTTTATTCTACTTGCCAACAACACTTTGAGTAAAGCTGGATTAATTTAGGTTTCTTAGACAAGCCTAGTAACTTTCTACTATAACGTTGAAAAGAAATGGTTTTCTAGAACGTGGAGAAACCTGGATTTGTTTTTTATGTTTTTAATCTAGGAAACATGATCTCTTCGGAACTGAAAACCAAATACTTGGGTTCACACGGGAAGCTCTGAGTCAGATGTCAGTTAAACAATCTTGCATTTCTGTGTTCTTGTAATTGTTTTTTCCCTGTTGGATTGTCATCATTTTTCTTTGTTACTTTTTGTTAGCTTGGAAGGGCTGTGAGCGGAGGAGGGGAAGGAGGAGGAGAACTTCCTGCTATAAGATCTTGAATCCCTTCAAAATGATCAGCTTGAGCATTTATCTTACACCATGTCTTTGGGGTCACAGACCCCCTTTATCTGATGGAATCACATCCTCTTCTCAGAAAAAAAGCCCACTACGGATAGAAATTTGAATGACGTATCAGTCCTTGAGTATTCTCTGAGGTCCTCATATGAAACGCTATTCCCCCTGAAGCCATGGACCTCAGCTTCAGACACATCCTGGGGCTGGTGGGTTCACCAAGTCCTTAAAAGACGTAGGGAGGAAGTATGTCCAAACTTTGCCTCTAAACTTTCTCACCTGAGGACGGGTAATTTAGGCAAGGATTTTAGCTGAAGATGTAGTGTTAATTTTCAAAGCAGGGGCTAACTTTACTGTCATTCTTGCCTGGGCAGAGTGTCATGAAAAGAACAGTGGAAGATTCAAGTAGTGGAACAGTTCCTTCAGTAGAAGCAAGGCTTAGGATGTAGGGGGAGAGGGTGTGGCCCCTGAAGAGCCCGGACCGCGGGAAGGATGGCTGCAGTGGACCTTCCTCTTTCTCCAGCTATCCTCCCCAACCCCTGCGCCCACCCACTGGTGGGCCGGAACACTAAAAGGAAGATCTAAACAATGCCCGTTATCTTCTACCCTCCACTTCAGGGATCACAGGTGCTGATCTTTCCTTCTTTATGGGCTCCTTCCATCAGCATTTAAACATGTTCAAATTTCCCATCCTGAAAACCTTCTTTATTATTGAGCTCCTCCGGTTACCCTCATTCCCAGCTTCATAGATGAATCTCTTGAACTGTCTACACTCCCTGAAGAGCTTCCAAGTCCTCAGCCTGCACTCCTCCATCCACTGCACTCTGGCTTCAGTCCCCAGCAGCTTTCTCCATGGCTCACCGAGGTTACAATTACTAGTACACTGCTAAATCCAGCAGACATTTCTCACTCTCTGCTTGCTGTCTCCAAAGCAGTCTACCCTGTTCTCTGCTCTCCCCTTCCTGAAACACTATTTACCCAGGATTTCCATGATGTCAAATTCCTGGTTTTCCTTGCACATCCAAGAGCACCATTCTCAGTCTGTTTGGCAGATTTCTCTCCTTCTCCCCTACATTCTAGACGCCTTTTCTCTCTCTGGCCAATTTCACTTATCATCGATTCCGTGTGCTTATGAATCCAAAATATCTCTAGCTAATATACTTTCTAGATTACAGACCTATATATCTAACTGTCTGCTGAGGACAGGACTGCCAAGAACAGGCTTGGCCCCCAGTGGATACCTTTGGGAAGGGAGGGAGGAACATCAGAGGCAAGCCAGGTAAAAACTGTGACATGGAATTTGCCATAGGACCCCCTCCCAAATGCCCAAGTGATTCACATGGTTTCTCTGCCCCATTTCTTTAGCCCCATCTGAACAGTAATGTTTGGCTGTCCCACAATCTTCTCAAATTGTATCATTTAAATCTAACAGTAAGTTTATTATTTCCTTCTTCTATTCTCCACCCCACTTTCCTCAAATATACTCTTGCACAGTAAATGGCATGACGCAGCCAGCTGCTCAAGCCAGAAATGTGGGGTGAACTAACCCTTATCCCTCCCTCCTTCATATACCCAAAGCATCTCTAAGTTCTGTCAGCGCTACCACGTACATTCACCTACTCCCCTCCTTTGTCACTGCCACCACCCTATTTCAGGCTGCCCTCTCCCTTTACTTGTCTAGGAGTGGCCTTTCACGGGTCCCCCACCTCCAGAACTGCCCTCCTCCACTGCATCCTGCACGGTGAAGCCCGAGCGGTTTAACCTAAAACAATTGATCTAAAAACACTTCACTGTGCCAATCTCTTCAAGCTTTTCCCTGACTCTCCGCTGGCCTAGGATAATGTCCAGATTCCCTCTCAAGGGAAGCACTGTACTGAATTATAGCAGATGTCTTCACACTTGAAGGTGCCTGGAAATCAGCTCTGGTTGTTAAGATGCTGTGGGTCTGGGTTGGTGCCTGAGTTCTTAGATTTCTAACAAGCTCCCAGATAATGCTGATAATCCTGATCCGTGGATCACACTTTGTGGGCCAAATTGGCAAAAGCTGAAATCCCAGTTGTGTCACTCACTAAGTCTGGGAAGTTAGAAAAGTCACTAGTCTCTGTGTGTCTCACTTGCCTTGTATAGAAAGGGATCATAATGGTGAATCTTCTTTTTAGGTTGGTCATGAGAAAAAAAGATGTTACAATAACTTGCAACAGAGTAATTGTTAAGTGGTAGTTATTGTTATTACTAGTCAAGATCCTGAGTGGTTTAGCCTCTACATTCTCTACAAACACACACACACACTGTCTCCTAGTTAATAGAAATAAATGTATATATACCTTATCAAAATTTTACCTGGGAAATGGATACCTGAAATCCAAAAATCTTATAAACTATAACCTAGAGAAAAATGGGTAACAACTTAGATCCTCAAAAGTATTGTAAATTAGAATTAACAAGTATTCCAATTAAGGTAAACAGAATAATTATTGTTTTGTTTATTTTTTGACTAAGCCAAGAGCTTAGAAATAATGTTATTGATTCCTTCATTTTATTTTTGTTAACTTTTAAACTACAAAGCTAGCACAATCAGAATCATAGTTTAACATCCTGGTTAATAAAAGATTTTATATGTGTTATGTTCTTTCTTTTCCCTTCCCCTCTCTTACACATGCCTCCACCGTACAACAGGCCAAAGAATGAAGCCACCTTTATTATAACACATGTGTGGTTTTGAAAGTGTCACTTCATCATGTGTCCCTCCTTTCAGAGTTCTAAGACAGTTGCAGAATAGACACGTTGTCATCAATTTTATCATTGTTAAAGCTGGGTTAGAAAACAAAACTTTTTCTAAAACCTGCCCCACCCAGGCTGAATTGAGCTTATTCCCAGTCAGGGTGGAGCTTGGACCCCTGAAGCACTTTTCAGTGGGGCCCGTGGCTCAGTGGGCTCCCTCCAGGGGTGGGCAGAGTTGGGGTCCCCCTCCCTGGAGGGAGCCCATACACTAGCGATTCCCAGCACAGCGAGGTGGAGTGAGAGCGAATTACCCTGAGAGGGTCCAACTGCCCGGTCACTCACCACTCCTCCAGTGTAGTAATCAGTGTGCCCCAGGGAGGGACATTCTATCCCAGTACTTTCAAAAGGGAGAAAAACTTTAAATGACAAGTGCAGAAATCTGGAGGAATGAGAGGTTCTCTCATATAATTTTGTCTTAGTTATATTTCTTAAATTATTTTTTAAGTTTCTTTATTTTTTTCAGTTGCAGCTTATATTCAATATTATTTTTATGAGTTTCAGGTGTTCAGCATAGTGGTAGACAATCATACACTTTACCAAGTGGTCTCCCGATATTTCATATGAACTTTGATTCAAAAAATCCTGCTTTCTTATAAATTTAAGTCATCAGTGTAAATTGTTGAAATGCCAAGTAAGAG